CATTTCCACTGTTATCACATTCTGGGGATTCAAAGGTCCCGCAGTGCCTCTCACCTCTTCACCTCCTCTCAAAACCGAGATGAACCAGAGCTGGGCCCCTCCGCCTTCGGTCAGGGAGGGCCAAACTGGCCTTAAAGACCCCGCTTGTTAGACAACAGGTGCACTTCAGCCGGCCCAGCTGTTGAGCAGAAAAGCCCAGCTACCGCTCTTAACCTTGTCACCGCCTATAATCTATGGTGCCACTTTCCAAAAACTGCTCAGGTTAAGGCTTGCTGAAATGCCACTTAGCTTTTGAACTTTGAATGGGCAAGAAAAAAAAGCATCCGAAAGTTTTTTAAATTAAAATCACAAAAAAGCTGTTGTGGCTACATAGCTTTTGTAATAGCACAGGAAATAAAAACGAGAGACGTGGACCGGACTTTTATATCTGCTGCCAGAATATTGACATTCTCCGGTGTTGCTCTTTCTCGCTTTTGGTTTCGCAATTTCCCAGATCAAGCCTGTTATTCAACGCTATTGTTTTTTATTGGTCGGGCACAGCTGCCCGGAAACATTTGGAGGAAGCGTGAGGAAGTTCTGAGTCAAAAAGGGAGAGCTGATGTACATCGGTTCTCTGAGCGAGGCCGACGTCTTCCTCTCACTGAGTCGAAAATGCGCTGTCGATGACTTAGAAGGGTGACTGTGCAAAAGCAACACAAGAGGATGTATAAAAATTCCTGGAAGCTTTTACACATGTAGCTGTGAAAGCAAGATGTTTATTGTGGCACATTTTCAACAACAGTCAATGACCTGACTGACTGAAAGCGGGAGAGACGTTTTCGTAATGTTCGCGTTGCTTGAACTTAAAAAAAGGAAAGATTTGAGGGAGTGAAAAAGATAACTTTAAGTTTTAGGGAGTGCTGTGGTCACGGTCTAAAATTAAGACCTGCAGTGAAAAGAAAGTCAACACAAGACTCCAGACGAGCTGCTTATTAAGGGAGCAACAGGTTCACGTTTCCAGACGATTACAGTAAAAAGCCAGTGGACGGGAATGAAATAGACTACCTATCTGTGCTGGTTATCTGTGGTATGTGTGGGACTGATAGGTAGAGGGAGATTCCAGATCTATTCATCCCAGGTCCTGTTCATTCCTTCTGGATAAGCACCGTGTGGGAAGGAAAATCTCCTACGATCCTTAAATACCAAACACAGCAGGTCAGAGGGGTTTTTCCAGCATAGGTCTTACATGTGGTTGACTGTCCTGAACATGTGTTCACATTTATGGCCCTTATTACATAACGCCTCACAACATCAAAGCAGGCAGACTGTGGACATGAATGATCTGCCACTGTGAGATAAAAAAAAAGGGCTTAGAAAGAGGAAGCGGTTTACATTTTTGACCTGTGACCTTTTACATCCTGCAGGCGTCAGCTTGAATCCCATCATCGTCTACTTCGCCAACCAAGAAGAAATGGACATGTGGTTTGGGCTGCTCAGAGAAAACATTGAAGCTAATGGAGGAACTCCAATGTCACCAGAAAACTACACTAGAGTGAGAGTAAGTTCATCAGCCTCGGCTGTGGTTTTTTTGGCCTCTGTATGTGTGTGTGTGTGTTCTGAAGTCACACATTGAATTAGCCAGAAAATACTTTGGCTTCAGTCCTGGCTCATAAAACAGGATGGGTGCGTGCGTGTAGATGTAGGTGAGTCAAGTGGGTCACTCATTGCTGGCTCTCCCTGAGGCTTCGATACTAGGGAGTGGCCTTGACCGCATCATGGCCTACCTCAAACTAACCCTCACATCTGTGCAGGGGTAAAGTGCTGACTCTACACCCACAGGTGGGGAATTAGTTGATAAAACACGTGAATGTGGATGTATCACGAAAAAAAAAGAGAAAAGAAACAGAGTCACGAGTTCTTTAAAACGGTGTTGGCGTACAAGCCGGGGAAGGAAAGCAGACGAACACGATTACGTTTCAGGAAAAGCCGAGCTTTTCTTTTCCGACTCACCTAACTCATCTCTTGTGTACTCACTCGTGTAGCTCAACAAGGACAACTCTCTCGAGGGAAGAGAGGAGCTGAGAAATTCCATCAACAGAGAGCCAATCCACGAGTGGGAAGGCTCACAGCGAGACAGCCTGGGCACCATCACCTATGTCACTAAGGTGCGACTGCAGCACCTGCCCTGCCTGGTACGTCACCTCTGCTTCTTATCAAGGCTGAATCACTGTCATGGGTCACTTGCCTAATACTGTACAGACTGTAACAAATGATACATTCATGTTTTCAAACTCTGAGAATTTTTCCCATGATTA